GGTCATAGGCAGGGACGCAGAGCCTCAGCCTGGAGGAAGGCAGTGGCACACCCATCAGGCAGTGCCCACCCTCTGCAGTCATGTGCCTGCCCACCAGGCCAAGGCCCACAATGAAGCTTTGTGTGGCAGCTGGCTTCAAACACACATGAGTGTCTGGGGCAGCCCTGGCAGGCAGTGCTGCCAGCCCTGGAAGCCAGAGATGCCAGGCTCGGGAGGGAGGACACACCCTGCCTAACCCCTCCAGGGCCCAGGGCCAGGCACTCTCCAGGAAGGAACTGGGCTGGCCAGGCTATCTGGGGACTCCCTAATCCCTGGGGCGGTGTCTGGGGAGTGAACATCTTCCAGTAGAGGCCTGACCATTGTCCCCCTTTTAGGAGGGCCTGCAGGGCACCCTGGGCCAAACTTGCTGCTCAAGGAGCTCAACCAAGCCTGTCTTCTGGATTCCTCCAGAGCTCATGGTCCTGGGAGAAATAAGAATAGAAAGGACAACATCGTCAATTTTTATGATGCTGAAGGTTTCTGTTTTCTGTTAAAATATCCTTTTTAAATGAGGTGATCATGGTAGCCAGCAGTTGTTTTGTGACATCACCTTTAATTGGCAAAATAAAGCATTGATACCTCTATTTTTGTCCTTTTTAAAACTTTAGCTGATGAAGCCCCCCAACGTTGACTTGGCTGCTAAGACTGATTTCCCCAGACCCATGAAGAAAGGCCCCAGCCCTGAGTGGCTCCCTGCTTTGGAAAATAACGTCAGTGACAACCCTGTGCAGGCACAGTCCAGGGAAGAGAGGCTCTGGGGTTGGCATGCCCCTGCCCTCCCTGGGCCTTTCTGCAAGTGAGGAGTGGACCATGGCGGTGGGTGGGCAGAAGGACGTCTGTATACCCTTCCTGGAAGCCCCGCCTAGCCCTCAAGAGGTTCTTGATCCAAGGAGGAGGTACAGTGTGGGCAAATAAACAGAAGCAGCCGTAAATAATCACATAGCACCCAGGTTGCTGGGAGGATGGGTGGGTAGAGAAGCCACCCCAGCAGAGAAAGGATGAGCAGATGAATGAGCCTGGGAGGGCATCCGATCAGGCCAGGGGAGATGTGGTGAGAGCTGTGGGAAATTTGCATTCTGCCAAGTAGAACGAGCAGTTTGTGGAGGGCTGCTCAGTGCTGCTGCGCTCTGACCCAGGTTGGGAGTCTAAACTGCCCAGGGGCATTTGCTGGATCTGCAGAGCAGGATTCCTTGGCCATTCCCTGGAAAGTGGAAGTCAAGGCTGGCAGAGCACCTGGAGGCCGGGGAAAGGGGAGTGAGGCCAGCAGGGCAGAAGTGGCTGGCGGGAGTGCACATGCCCATCTGAGCCAGGGTCCTCCGCTGGGGCCACACCAAGGGCACACAGGGCAGCAGGACCAGCTCCAGACAAGCCCCTGTGCAGCTGGGTGGTGTTCAAAGGGTACCTGCGGCCCTCTGCTCAGCCTTGGCCTGCAGCCGGCCCACCCTTGACTCTCAGACAGGGCCACTGAGGGTAGGTGAGTACCACAGCTGTCCCCTTCCCCTCCACATGCCTCCAGGACATGGTGAGAGACAGCATGTAAACCAAAGAAGCATCATCTTTCCTCAGGCTCAAGAAAAAATAGAATCACTAGGCATGGTGGCACACACCTGTGATCCCAGCACTCAGGAAGCAGAGGCAGGAGGATCGCCAGGAGTTCAAGCCCAGCCTGAATTACAGAGCAAGACCCTGTCTCAAAAGGGGGAAAAAAAAAAAAAAAGGAAATAGAATCTGATATCTAAATGCCAGCTGCTTATTTTCTGACAATATTTCTGTCATCGTGCTGGGGCAGATATTTTTGGTTTGTTCAAGAACACTGGGGAGGGGGTTGTTTTTTGGGAATTTGTATAGCACGAGTGAGACCATATCCCAAACAAGACTCTGGGCAGCTCTGGGCCCTGAGACAAGAATCCCATGCCCCTCAGGGGGACCATGGCTACCCCCAGAGCCCTAAGCCTTGTACCAGCCCACCTGCTGCAGGAGGGGCTTCAAGGCCTGACTCCATCTGGGCTGGGGAGAGATGACTGCAGGCTCCTGTATGCCTGGCACCCCTCTCCTGCATCCTCCAGTCCCTCCCCCTGAGCTGAAACTACTCCTGTCAAGATCAGAGGTCTCAGCTAGGGATTTAGCTCAGTGGTTCTACCACCTGCTTCACAAGCGCAAGGTCCTGAGTTCGATCCCCAGAACCAAAAAAAACAAAACAAAAACTAAAAGATCAGAGGTCTCAGGCCAGCACAAATGTCAAGGAGTGTGCTAAGGACGTGAATGCACGTCCTGAGGGTCTCAGGCTTTTCTGCAGCTTCCCTCAAATGACTGGGAGTGAGTGAGGCCGAGAGGGTGTGCAGCACTGCAGCCTGCACCAGAGCTGTCTCCTGGAGATCACCACAGGATTCCCTGCCCCAGTACCGGAGATTGAACCCAGGGCCTTTGCAAATTGAGACAGGGTCTTCCTAAGTCACTAAGCTGCCCAGGCTGGGCTGAAACTTCAGCTCCTCCTGCCTCAGCCTTCCAGAGTGCTGGGGTTGCAGGTGTGCACCGCCTCCCCCAGCTTCATCACCTGGCTTTAGCATCTGTTCATCACACCCCTGTGGTTGTGCTAACTATTCTGTCCTTAAAAGCATTTGAAAATGTTTCTGACTGCCTATGCGGCAGGGCTTAGCCTCTCTGCCCACCGAGAACACAGTGAGAACTAAGCTCCAGACAACCACCCCTTTCCCCACCCCCAAACCCAGACCCTCTGAATTTCTAGCCCCTTTGGGGTGGTGACCTTCGCCCCACAGAGCTGTGGGAGCAGAAGCAGGTGGGGTGGGGGCCTGAGGGCCTCGGGTGAGTCCCTGGCAGGCCTGAGTGGCTGCAGTGTAGCCAAGGCAGCAGCCTGATTTGTTGTCTCTTGCCCCTTCCTTCCTCTTCGGCTCGACCCGGGACCCGGAGAAGGACAGCCATGTGGACTCACCTCCAGAAACTGGCAAACGTGCAGACAGGCCCTCCAGGTCCCTTGGGCTCCGTGAGGCCCAGGGAGCCCAACCTGTTTCTCCTGAGCCTATCCACAAGGACAGGCTCAATGGGGAACAAAACTGGACACTTTGTCCCAGGCCCGCAGGGGCAGAGGAGGGGCCAGTGCTGGCTGGGGTGGCCACACCCAGAGGCCGGAGGCCACCTGCCCTTCTCTGCAGGGCCAGGCCTTATTTAGTGGAGCAACATGATCTTAGCCAACCCCGCACAGCTGGAGGCCGACATGAGGCCAGCCTTGTTCCACTAGGCACAGGTGGCGCCTTCCCAGGGAATCTCTCTCCCTTGGTGAGACAAGGATGGCGGAACGGCTTTGCCAGTGGTTTCAAGCGGGAAGGGCTGGGGAGGGGGCGCCTGCACTCGTGCACCTCTGGGCAAGTTGGCCTAATTGTCCAAGGAGACCAGGCAGCCCTCCTGCCCAAACGAAATGCAATCTGCCTTCTTCCTCCTCCCGAGTCATTATTTATTTATCTGGAAGATGCTTTGATGACAGAAATTCAGGGCTGCACTTAGGCATCTAATGAGGGCAATCAGAAGCAGAAAAGGGGACAAAGCTGTCCCTCTGGGTTTGCCGCAGCAAGCTGCTGGCCTCCATGTTTGCAGAATCCTGTGTCTGCTTCAAAGCCAGCTCCCACCTTGCTCTCCATTTCTCCTCCCAGGGAAGTGGCAGATCCTCAATTTACAGGAGAGGAGACTGAGGCCCCGGTGGTGGCACCCCCTGCATTACAGAGGCAGCCCTGCTGGCCGCCTGCGGCCTCTTCCTGTGCTTGGGGTGCTGCCCGCTGGCTGAAAATTACTACTGCTTGCTGTTGCCATGGTGACTGGTTGTGTTATTCCATCCTGCAGAGATGTGTGCCCCACGTCATCCAAGCTGGTGTGTTTCTGCTGGAGAAAACCTCTATATCTAGGAGAGATGGGGGGGCCCTGCACACTGCCCTTCCTGTGACACCCTGCCTCTTCCCTGGCCCTGACCCCAGGGCCCCTGCAGCACTCAGCCTGTTGCTCTCCGGGGCCTGTTCTTACCAGGGCACTCTGCCCATCTCCTGTCTCTGTAAGGTCAGTTCCCTGTGTCCGCACACAAAGAACCTCACCCTTGTTTCCGATGCAGAGTGTGCTTACTTGAGCGGACAGACCATAATCTGTTTAGCCAGACCCTGTTGGTGTACAGTTGGGCCATTTCCAATCTCTGACTGATACAAACAAATCTCTAAAGCATAGCCTTGAGTACATGTCATCTCACACATGTGAGGATGTTCGTAGAATAAATTTCTAGGAGCACAATTGGGAATTGCACAGTGTGTGCCTAGCATGTGCCAGGCACTGAACTAAACATTTTACCTAGGTTATTTTGCTTCACCTCACCATGGCCTTAAAATAGAGTTCATTCCTATCCTTGTTTTACAGGCAAGTGAACTGAGGCTCAGAGAAGTTCAGAAACTTGCCCAATCACCATCAGGCCAGTGTGGTAGGAGTGGGAGGGAACCTGGTCAACCCTGGGGAGCCGCCCCATCCAGTGGGCACTCACTCAGGAGCCCCTAGGCCCCCACTTGTTTCCCAGCCCCATTCAAACTCTGCACACCCAGGAGCTGTGGGCCTTCTCCCCATGTCCCGCTCCCCGGGGCTCAGCGCCTGCCACCCCACGTCTAGCTCATGTGTCTCCTTGCCTGTGAGGCTTCCCCCAAGTTGCTGTCCTCAGCCTGGCTGGCTGCACAATTTGGGGTGATGTGCTGTAGGCTCTGCCTCTTTCCTTGGGTCCCGAAGCCTCCTGGCCCTGGCCAGACTGTGAGTTCCCGAGTCAGAGCCTGGATACTGGGGCTCAGGGGGGCGCCGAGCGCTGCTCACCCAGCCCAGCCTAGGGGACAATAGGAGAGAGGCAGGGCAAGCCCAGGGACCCACGGGCAGGCCGCCTCTTTCCCGGGAGGGCTGGCCTCATCTGAATTACAAAAATGGTTAGCATGCAGAGAGAGCGCCGCACCGCAACCTCCGCCTTCATTTGCATGACAAAGGCGATTGCCCAACGGTTCTCCGGGGCTTTGTTGAGACCTCCAAGCCTTGCTCTCCAGAGCCTTGGGAATTGTTCCCGGCACAGGTCGTTCCTGGGCTCCACAGCCACCCGGCCGACAAAAGCCACATTGTGAGATCGGCAGCAGCTGCCAGCACCTGCTGCCTGAGCCCGCCGCCTCTGTCCACAGGCCCCCGGCCACTGTGGGCCTGCTGCCCTTGCTAGAGGGTCAGAGCCCAAGGCCTCACCCAGAGCACGGGGTAGGTGGGGGTGGAAGGACCTCACTGGGTCCCCAGAAGGCTTGGAGAGATGGCCTGGGGCTGGGCGCTGGGTGAGGCCAGGATGCCAAGGCCACCAGTGAGTGATGGGGACCCTGGACTTAGAGAGAAGAAAAGCGCACTCCACAAGGCTGCCATGCGCACGCTGGAACGCGCGTCCCTTAATGCTTCACTCAGAACAGATGTTTTCCGCACTCTGCCAAGGGGACACGGCTCAGAAAGGCTCACCCCTGCCCCAGCGTCACAGGCAGAACCCCCGGCCACTCAGCACACTCCTCTCCCTTTCCTTTCAGAGCGACTCAGCCTTCTCTCTCTTCCTTCTCCGAACTGTGGCTTCCAGCTGCCTCGACAGCAAGAGTTGGCCCTCTGCCCTTGCCAAGCCCCTGGGGCCCCTGTCATCAGCAGAGGTCACCTTCCTCATGGGGCGCTGGGCTCCAGGTGAGCAGGACTCCTCGGTCCCCAGAGTACCCCACTGTCCTGGGCTGCCGTTGCTAGGACCATCTGTCTGTCAACCCCAAGTCCCTGAGTCCTTCATGGCCCACAGGCTCCTGATAACCCTCACAGCCCCTGCACATGCTCCCCTTTCCGGGAACTCCCCCCTGAGCACTGCCTCCCCTGCCGGTGGACCAGGCTGAGAACCACACCTTAGTGCCTCCAACCAGCCAACCCCTGCAGACCTAAACACGACAGTGTGCACGATAGTGCTGGAGCCACTCTGACTTCAGGGAAAAGCATTTAACTTCTGAGTGCCTACTAGCTAACCTGCAGGGCAAGCCCACAGAGATCCAGGCACCCAAACTCCCTGGGGAGCCCTTCACAAGGCCTTGACAAAGATAGGAATGGGGGTGGGGCTCAGATACCTTGCCTGGGGACAGGACGGGCCAGAGAGAAAGATACTGCTTCTGGGCCGAAGGCTGCCCCTTGAACCCGGAACCGCTTTGCTGGAGGCCATGGCCTACTTCCCAAAATCACAGCCTGTCTGCAGAGGCCTGAGGGACCCTCCTTCCCTGGCCTCTCTTCCTGTGATCTTCTGTTTGGGGGCCCCATAGTCCAAACCAAGCAGAGGAAGGAACAGGGAGCCCTTGGTACTCTGAGTGGAGCAGACTCAAGGTGTCCAGAGCAGTCTCCAAGTGACAGCTTGAGGCCAGCTGAGGATGCACCGTGGCGGGGTGACATGGCCTTGGGACAGTCAGCCCTGTCAGATGGGGAAGCCCAGACTGAGCTCCAGCCTTAGGAGGAGAAGAGTCTCAGGCCTCTCCCTCAGAGCATCATAGGCAGGGGCAGCGCGGGGGGGGGGGGGGAGCAAAGAGAACCTGCAGTGGGCTGGGCCTGCAGGGGCGCAGAGGGCAGGACCTGGTCACTGTGAGCCTCAGGGTCGTAGCCAGGACCTCCAGGAAGGAGGACCCGAGCCCCGGCTGGCCTGGGTGTCCCTGTGTAGAAACTTCCACACCATCAGGAGAAGACAGAGCAATGGTGCGCAGCTGGAGAAGGACCTGAGTGACACCCCTTGGTCTGGAGGTGCCCACCTCCCGTGTGAGGAGCTTCCAAGGCCAGGAGCCCCTCCAACATGCCAGCGCCTGGACCACAGGCCAGCAGCCCTCACCAGGAAACCCCTGTGAACTCTCAAAGAAGCAGCGGGAGGCATGGAATTAGAAGCATTTAATCCTCACCTCCTCCCCACCAGGAAAATAAAAACCCAACATCACAGCAGGCTCGTTTGCTAGGTTTCCAATTAAACCTTAAAGGGCACTGGGTATTTGAATGAGTTCCCCCAAATTGTCCCAAGTTGTCAAACACCCTGAATCAGAAAGCAGGATTTGCAACGATACCAATACGTCGGGGCTGGCAGGCAGAGGCCCCCTCCTTCCTGTGTATTCACTACAGACAGGAAGGTGGATCAGAGGTCTGGGGAAGCTGCCTGCAGCTCCTACCACCCTGCTGGGCCTCTGGCTGTGGACTCCATTCAGACCCAGAGCTGAGGGGACTGTGGAGCAGAAAGAACACTGCATGAACATGGGAAGGTGAGCAGGACCTGGGTCCCTGTCGGCACCCCAAGTCCTCTTCTCCAGCCCAGGGAGGCCCAGTGCCAGACATCTGCTTAGAGGAAACCCTCACTGAAGTGGCTTGCACCCTAAGCACTTCTAACCAGTAGACTGGGCTTGGGGTCAAAGCAGGGTTCCTGCCGAGGCCCTGGGTGTGGCCTTGTGGGCCCACTGTCTCTCAGAGCTGAGTCATGCATCCGATTAGGATTCCTGCACCACGGGTGCCTTGTGCTGCTAGGGCTGCTGTAACAAAATGCCACAGGCCGGGTGGTTTAAACAGCAGAGAGAAACTCCTGGTCCTGCAGGCTGAGAAGGCTGAAGAGTCCAAATTCCAGGTGCCAGCAGAATCAGCGTGCGTGTTTGTGCAAGGTTTTCTCCGTGGCTGAAAGGTGGCATCCTCCGTGGTGGACAGTGCCCTTCCCCTGGACCATCTCTTCTGTTTTTGATGAGGTGCTAATCCCATCTCCTTCAAGACCTAATCACCTCCCAAAGGCCCTATCTCCAAACACCCTAATGTACAAGCTGGGGAACATAACTAAGTCATAGCCATTTGGGAGGACACAGCCCACGTGGGGCCCAGATAAAGTCTGAGTGCTGGGTGTCACCCATGGGTGACAAGGGGAGATTCTGCTGGTGATGGTCAATCTCCTCCAGGCACAGCACCCTGCCTTCTGGAAAGCAGTTTAGGGAGAAGAGGAGGAAGGGTACTCATGCTTCTGTTTTCTGGGGGGGGTTTGGAAAGGTTTTTATTTAATTTTTAGTGCTAGGAGTGGAACCCCGAGCCTGGTGCATGCTAAGCACACGCTCTATCACAGAGCCACGCTCCCAGCCAGGCGCTCCTTCCTGTCTCATCTCCTAGAAAGAACAGGAGGTGGCAGGGTGAGGACAGGCTGTGGACCTCAGACAGCCCCGTGGCTTCAGGTGGCTGACAGTAGGGCCTGAGTGGGGTGGTCCTAGGACCAAACATCCTAGAGGCAGAAAAACCCTGCCTTTGTCAGGGCTCAGCTCTGTCCTTTTGTGGTTAGAGAAGAAATGTGGATGCCACTGAAAAATTTTAAATAGGGCTTGTATATAATATAATATGATGACATCAACAATAAAGTCCTTAAGTGCACTGCAGCTTCTATGGCTACCAGGAAGCAAGTCCTTCCTTTTGGAAATAGGTAAACATAAGGTGTCGTGATGTTACCAACTTATTTTCAGATGGTTCAGGAAAAAAAATAATACATAGGTTTAGACAAATAGATGGAGAATGAAATAAAATTAACACAGCAAAAACTCACCACTGGTGAGCTGCATACAGGATGTTCACTGAACTACTCTTTCAGCTTTTCCATGTGGTTGAAAACTTTTGAAATAAATTTTTTTGTTGTTTGTTGCTTTGTTTTGTTTTTTGAGACAGGGGTCTTGCTATGCAGTTCAGGCTGGCCTTGAACTCACTATGTTGCCTAGGCCGGCCTTGAACTCATGATGATCTTCCTGCCTCTGCCTCCCCAGTGCTGGGATTACAGGCATGCACCACCACGCCCAGCTTGAAATAAAATATTGGGGAGAGAATCAGGAGTTATTTGTTCCTCTGCCTCTGCCCTGGGTCTGGTGGTATCCAGAGCAGTCCTGGCACACCTGCCATACATTGCCTTTCATGCCCCCTGCCACCATGGGTGGGGGTACCCCACGGGCCACGTGCCCTGCTCCCCTGGTGTCAACCCTGTGAGAGCCTGAAAGGCAGGGAGGATGGTGTTGCTGCTTTAGGATGAAGATGCCCAATGCCTGAGGAAGTCCAGAACTCCACCTTGGGTGGCTTGTCACCCTGTATCCCCTCGGCAGACTGGACCTGCTGTGGGAATCACGGTGGGCCACGGGCTGTCTACCAGGTCTCCTCTGGGCTCTGTCCCTGAGGACTCCAGGGTCCACAGAGGAAGCTGGAGCTGAGCTTCGTGACAGTGCAAGGAGGGGAAGTGCCCAGGGGATGACAGCTGAGAGGTTCCAGGGTAGCAGAGCAGACAGGGCAAGTTCTGCAGGAGAGAAAAGAGTGGGAACCGGGCAAGGAGCAGCCCCGCTGTCACCCATCAGGTGGTTCTCCGGGCCCAGAGTCCCAGCATCCCCAGGACCATCCCTCCAGGCCCTTCCAAGGGAGTGGCCAGCGGGCGCTGCTCACTGTGTCCTTGGGAGGCGCAGTGCTGGCCAGGCACCGTCCTGGAGTCCTGGACAGCCATGCTGCAGGACATGGAGCTCTTGTTCCTCCTGGGCGAGTAGCCCAGAATCGCCAGCAGGGAGGCCAGGAAGCTCCTCGGGCCTCAGGCAGCTCCTGAAGCTCCAGCAAGGCCCTGAGCTTCGGTGGGTGGGTGCCGGGGGGTAGATGGCTGCAAGGGTTTCGCTGGGTCCCCTTGGATCCCACAGGTCCTGACGCTGTCACATGCACATCAGCTGCAAGGGAGGCTGGGAAACTCAGGGACTGCAGTCTTTTCTGTCTCTGAGACAGATCCAGGGTGCGGCCAGCGAGCCAGGCTCTTGGGGGGGTCAGCTCAGGGTGTTCCTCTGGAAAACGGCCTTGGGCACTACCTTTGGAACTGACCCTTGACAGTCCCTTTCCTGCCCGACAAAAATTCTGGTCTATCTGGTTCTAGAGGCCCCCCACCGAGGCAAATTAGTGACTTAGCAAGACCCTGTCTCAAAATATGAATAAATAAAGGGCTGAGGATGGAGCTCAGTGAGAGGCTCTGGGTTGAATCCAGAACTACACACACACACACACACACACACACACACACACACACACGCGCACACACACACACACAAGATCTATCTCACATTGGCACTTGTGAAATTATAGTTTAAAAAGAAAAATATCTCTTTTCTCAAAAAGAAACTTGGTTTCCTGGCAGAAGGTAAGGAAGACTGGGATGTGGCTTTCAGAGTTCCCACTGTCCTATGGATCGCGGTAAAATCAGATTCCCTCATACTTCAGCATGTTGAGGACACGGCCTCGCTAACTGTTTCCTAAAGAACGCCAGAGTACAGTCTCCATTCCAGTGCCCCCCAGAACTTTGCCACGTGCCCATTAGGAAGGTGAGATCTATGTCCACCTTCCCCTGAACTCAATGGACCCTTTGACTAAAGTGTTACGGAAATGTGGCCCTGTGACTTCCAGGTGCCAGGACATAAAAATGCCACTGTCTTGCCTGAGCCCCCAGTGAACAGCAGGGACAATGGCCTGCCATGTGCATGTGCCATCTTGGAGGTGAGCCTTCCCAGCAGTCCTGCATGTAGCAGGGGAAACCATCTTGTCTAAGCCTTATCCAAACAGCAGAGCTATGAGCAAGATAAATGCTCAAGGCATTACATTTAGGGTGAGTTTCACATAGCAATAGTAACTCATGAGGAAACAGTTCCAGGGCGTAGCTTGATTTGCGTCAATGTCCACAGCACGGTGGTGGTAGAGACAGGACTCCAGGACTGCTGGCCATCGGTCTGCCTGGGACGGCTGGACAGGTCTTATTCTGACTCACAGCAGAAAGGACTGAAAGGCCACCTCTCCGTTGTGGAGATGAGCCCTCAGAGGTGACGAGAGCTACTCTCATTGAGCCCCCTCTCCTGTGCTGGAGCACAGCCCCTCCTGGTCTCACCCAGCTCTGTCCTGCAGGCAGACACCAGGGATTTTATGGAAGTGTGCAGCGTTACTGATTCCCCAAAGGCCACAGCTGATCGGACCAGGAGTGGCCCCAGGCCTCTGGCCCATCTGGTGGTTGCTCATGACTTAGGTCGCTGTGATTATCTGGGTCAATCAACTCCCTTCAGCAATTTAATTTACAGATATCAAAAACACTAGGTCCTTTGTAGGAGGATACGATAAACGAAGGGAGCCTAGAAGCACCAGCATGAGTTCTGTGTGAGCTAGGTTGGACAAAAGAATAAGATGAGTTTATCAGTTAGGACCCGTGTCAATCTGATGGTGACCAAGGCTTAACATTAAGAACTCTTAGATCTCTACCTTGTAAAAGTTTCATGTTAGCCAGTCCAAAGAAATTATGGGAAGCTCGGTGATTTCATCAGGGAGTCAGGCTCCAACCAGTTTTCTCTTTCATTTCTAGCACATATTTTCCAGGCTCGAGGCTGCCTCATATTCATAAAATGGCTGCTGTAACACCAATGATGATATCTTCATACCAATCAGCAAGCAAAAAGAAGGGCACATGCCAGCTGTTTCTTTCATTCTTAAAGTCATTTCTGGTAAGCTTCACCCGAAAACTTCTGTCTCCACCTCACTAACCCTTGGTCCCTTTCAGGGAGGCTGAGAAATGCAGTCTTCTGGCCAAGCATCTTACTGTCTAGAATAAAATTATATGAAGAAAGAAATCATGGATACTGAGTAGATACGGTGGTTTTGTCACAGCCTGGGTATGAGGGTCCCCAAGGCCAAAATAAGGAACTTAGCCCAGCCCTTTAAAATAAGTATGCATGGGCCGGGGATTTAGCTCAGTGGTTCTGCCGCCTGCCACACAAGCACAAGGTCCTGAGTTCAATCCCTGGTACCAAAAAAAAAAAAAAACAAGTATGCAGGTTTGCTGACTCCCATTATGGAAAGATTTTTGTGACATGTCAGTAAAGGAGGCCTGAGAAGGATTTATTCAAGGTAAAAGCAGAGTTTGGATGCTCAAAGAAATGAGGCACAGTAGAGTTGGGAACTGAGGGTCTTTTGTGTTTGGGGAGGTGGAAATCTGTGGAATTTGATAATCTATAGTCTTAGTCCTAGTCTTAGTGGGTAGGAGAGGTTGGCCCACCCCTAGTGACATAATGAGAAATGCCAAAAGGGGGTCCATTTATGGATGAAAGAGGACAATTTGCAAGCAAAAGGGAGTGGGCAGACCTGTTTGCAGATGAAAGGGAGTTGCCCAGATTTCCTGTTTTGGGAGAAGGAAAAAGAGTAAATACACCAAATACACTGAGCTTGTGTTCTGGGGCTGCAGCTTCCTTGCCGTTTTTCTATCTAGCTTTATATCTTCTATCCGACCTCAATTTTACAAAATATCCCCAAATTTCAGACATTTCTTCCTTTAAGAGGTAGAGTCTAATTCCCCTTGGTTGGAATCTGGGGAAGACTTAGAAGAGACCACTAATAAATATGGTAGAAATGATGCCTTGTGATATCTGAGCACAGAAGTGTTTACTGTTATTCTGAGCCATTAACTTTTGGGCTACTTTGTTACACAGCAATAGCTGCCTAATAGTGAACCATTAGCAATGGCTGTCACAATGCATTAAAAAATAATAATAAAAATCTGGCCCGTGGATGGTATAAAAGATGGCAGAAAGCAGAGAAATGGTTATTTTCCTGAGACTTTCACTTTTTAAAGCTTTAAAATGTATTTCAAATTAATAAAGATACAATAAGGAAGCTGTTGATGCATGGGATTTTGGAGAGTGTGTTGAAGGCCAAATCTGGGATGGCCACAGTCATCTCCCTGAGGAGGTGCTGGGCTGCAAGGACACTAAGTGGTCATTGGTCAGACGGAAGTGTGGAGGGAAGATGGTGTTATTATAGACAGCTAAGTCAGGTAGAAATATTACAGGCAGTCAGACAGCACTGGGCCCTTGAGGAGCTCAGTGCAGAAGATGAAAACACATCACAGCTGTGGCTGGAGGTGCATCTGAAGAAGATTAAAATCCACGATGGCCAGATTTGCATACTTCCCTAAGCAGTAAACAAAACCATGAGATTATTGGTACCACTCTTGAGATTTGCCATATAAATAAACCATTATCTCATTAGGGGTGGGCCATCTTCTCCCATCAAGACCAAGACTAAAGACAAGACTGAAACTATAGATTATCGGCCAAGGTTAATGATGTCATCCATATGTCCTTGCTACTACTGGATCAATATTAGCCCAGCAGCCCTACTTGTAATCTTATTGGTTGACTATAATTTGACCCACCTCGTACCCACCTCATGGTTTTGCTCGATAACACTCTCAGAAAATCGGGCTCTGTGGCAACCCACTTTCAGGTCCCCTTCTGTCTCTCAGGAGCTCTCTCTCAAAAAATTTTCCTACTCTCAACTCCCCTTGTAACTTAGAATTCATCCTTGCAATTTGAGGAACATGAACTCGGCGTATCTGATATCTAGCAGGTTGGGAGTTATATTGATTTCCCCTATATCAGTGTCACTCCCCACTTCAGGTGTGAGGAGGCAGAGAGCTTGCCACTTGAGGTCCCACCAAAGAACCCCAACTAGTCCCTAAGTCAGACACAGGATTGGCCAAGTGATCTGAAAATGCCTCTGTTCACCCATGTTCAGGTGTCAGACCAAGGACTTCCATGGCTCCCAGACCCTGGGGATAGAAAGGATCACTTTCCTTTTCTTGGTTATGCTTGTTCCAGTTACTACTGCTGTCTTGGTCTGTTTTCTGTTGCTATAACTAAATATCATAGACTAGATTATGCATTTATTTTTGGTTATTTTGAGTCAGGATCTCACTATGTAGTCCAGGTTGGCCTTGAACTCACAGCGATTCTCCTGCCTCAGCCTTTTGAGGGTGCTGGTGTCACGGGAAATATGAAGTATGAAATATTGTATCTCCCAACCTGTTAACTGTATGATATGCCAAGTTTTTGTTCTCTAGAAATCGAGGAATGAGTCCTAGGAATGATGGAGGTTAAAAGTGGGAAGATTGGCCGGGGATTTAGTTCAGTGGTTTCACTGCCTGCTGCGCAAGCGCAAGGACTCGAGGAGTTCAATCTCCGGTACCAAAAAAAAAAAAAAAAGTAGGAAGATATTTATTGATAGGAAGGCTCCTGAGGGGCAGGAGGGGTCCCGAGTGGGTAGCCGGGGACCCCATTTCACAGAGGAGTTTTACAGGGTGACACCCACATGGGTACAATGTGGGTCACAGCCATGAACATCCAATAAGGTAACAAGTGTGGTCACTTAGGTAATGGTGGTCCAATTGGGAAGCAAGTCCTGTAACAAGCACGGATGGAAAGAACAAGGATCCTCCTGGGGGCGGTGGGTCCAGCAGTCTCTGGTCAACCCCAGGGTGGCTGATGCCTATCTATACTTTACTAAGCCCAGTTCTTTGAAGAAGCGTGTGGGTCTGGTCATCTTGTCTCCATCTCGAGGCCTGGTTTTCAGCCGATGTGCAGCTGTGCTGTGTTTCACCTTTGTCCTGGCCCTCTTGAGGACTTAGCCCTGTCTGACTGCCTCTAATATTTCTAGCTAACTCATCTGTCTAGAGTACTGAGATTACAGGTGTTTGTCACCATGCCTGGCTAGATAATTTATTCTAAAAATAGAGGCTTATTTCACTCCTGGTTCTGGAGGCTGTGTGTCCAAGCACAGTGAGGATCTTCTTGCTGCCTCCTGACATGGCAGAGGGCAGCATGTGGCGAGACGCAGCCAGCTACCTTTATAACAAAGCCAATAACCTAATCATCCATGCATCCAGGCATGGTTTAGGCCATTGAGGGCTCTATCTCATGAGTGGAAAAATCCCTTCTAAATTCCCACCTCTCAACTGCACTGGGAACCAAGTTTCCAACACATGCAATGAGTTCACTTTCTAACCATAGCACCATGTAACAAACAACCCCAATCATAATGCCCTGGAACATCAGCCACTGCTTTGTGCACCTGGACTCTGAACGGGGCCTGGCAGAGTGGTTTGTGGCTGCTGTGCCCATGTGCAGGGCCTGCCCTGGGACCTCTGGCAGGCCGGGAGACTCAGATAGCTAAGAGCAATCCATCCTGTTCAGCCCCCCCGAGGCCCAGCAGGGGCCACTCAGAGGCCCGCATGTGCTTTCCGGGGAAATTCTCTCTGGACTCTCAAGAAATGACTTCAGGTCAGGGAAGCCTCTGGGCTGCTCTCAAGTTACCTGGAATGTGATTAAATCTGATTCATTTTCAACTTCTACCTTTCCCTTTCCTTGGGGAAAAACATTTCTTCGTCTTCTTTCTTCCCCCTGGAATATCAATAGCCCCGATTGTGCAGCTCTCTGCTTTACATATGAAAGAAGTTTCATACCTCAGAACAAATAGAAAGCTCCAGTTTAGAGAGGCTTGGCTAAAAAGAACCAACTCATATTACATGTTGGAAATATTTTAAATCAACTTGGTTAGCTATGAAATCAGGTCTAATGACTACTGACTCATTCAATATATCACCCTACATTGGGAGCTGTGAAAGCAGCCGGAGGAGAAGGATGTGAAGGGTTAGAGATTTGCTCTGTGCTCCTGGCCAACATTGTTCTTGGTAAATCCTCCCAGTCCCATTAATGGGGATACTCATTAGATAGGGTTCCCTCAAGAGCTTGAATTTAATTGATTTGATAAATTCCCACATTAATTAGTTGGCTTCCTATAGGCTCCTGGTGGGGGCTTCGCTGCAAGGCGAGACCATCAGAGGCTGAGGATCTGAGCTCTACATCCTGCTACGTGGGGCTTTGAGTAAGCTCTAGGCCAAATGGAGGCTCAGTGATCTCACCTATAAATGGGAGGGTACTGCACTTTCCTCACCAAGTCCTTGTTTTATGTGTGTCAGGGTGCGCCCACAAGTTGGGGCTTACTGCTGTTGACCTTGGGCTTGGCAAGAACCTGAGTCAGAGGATGAAATGCAGCATTTGACCCTGAGCACCCACCCAGGGAGAGGATCACACGTCATGAATGGCAGATGACCAAGGCATGCATGGGGGAGGGATGCACACAAGAAGAAACAATTGTCACAGAGACCAGAGACCCTCCCAGGTCATCACAGAGGAGGGCGGGATCCACGTCAGTCACCACATTTGGAAGAGGGGAGCCATCTGCTCTGGCAACCCCGGATGGGATGATCCATCATCTTAACATGCTCCTTTCATACATTTGTGGCAGACTCTCTAAATATCTCTCCAGTCTCCATGGCTGGGTTTCAGAAGCATTTCTGGGCTTACTCTTTCCCAATGTAAACGTGCACCAGATGTGAAGTTGGCTTTCATCATTTAGGACTTGATGAATTATTTTACACTCTGGACCACTGGGAGATGGAACATGAAAATGGTTCTCTACACCCATGTCATATAAAAGAGCATGGCTTGTTCTCCTTGTCACACGTCAAAGTGCTAGAGGCAGAGATGAGACTTCACCATGATGTTCCTCACCCAACAATTCTGTAATGGTCGAGCTGGGGTCACCAAAACCCTTGGGGTCAGAGTCTTCTTTGGATTGAAGAGCTCTTTGGTGCCATTATGAGCAACTGAGGAAAGAAAGAGGTGAGGGAACGCGTCGACCCCTTGACTGGGTGAGGAGGACACGGCATGTGAATTGGGAGTGCTGTTGAACAGTGACCTATGTGACATACTGGGTAAACTCAGCCCCTTCCCCCTCCGGGCTGATGCAGGACTACAGTCAGCAGATATCCTGGGAAGAAGGGAGGACAGTGACAAGAACCAGCATCTTATAGCCTGGCTGCCAGGAAGCCAGCCCTAGAGAATGACGTTCAGGACAAAACACAACCCATGTTCCACTTGGCACCAAGTCCTCACTGTTTTCCTCTCTGCCCCCATCTTCCACCTTTGGGTAAGTTAAATTTGGCTAAGTGCCAGTGACAGGTGGGTGCCAAACTGTATTATGGCTCAAACACATGAGTGTGTTGTTTGTCAGGCGTCCCAAGCTCCTTTTGTTTGGTGGCGCCATCATCCCCTGGAGCTCTGTTATCGGAAACTTCCAGTTGGGAGAGAGGAAGGAGAAGGCAGGGAACAGAGACCGCTATTGTCTGCATTTTAGATGTGCTTTGAGAGCCATGGTGTTAAAAGCTTCGTCCCCAGGGTGGTGGTGTTGAGAGAGGGGGGAACCTTTAAAAGGCGGGGCCTAGTGGGAGGTCTTTATGTCATTAGGGGCGGGTGTGAGCCCCAGCCCTCTCCTTTCCTTCTCTTCTGCTTCCAGGTCATGAAGCAAGTGGTTTTGTTCGGACGCGCACACCCACTATGATGTACTGCCTCCTCATAGATCCAAAGCAATGGGTCCCCTGCTCACAGACCGCAGTCGTGAGCCAAGAGAAACCTCTGCTCATTCTCAGTTGGTCACTCAAGTATCTGGTGTCATGATGGCAGCTGACTCACCTAGAGACCCCCTCTTGAAAGAGCCCACGCAGAGGCGGGGATATACACCTGAAATCATGTCTAGTCAACTTGCAATACCCAACAGAATGTAAATGTTATGCAAACAGTTGCTTACTACATTGTTTAGAGAATAAGGACAAGAGAAACGTCTATACATACTTGGTACAAATGTAATTTTTGTTCAAATATTTTAGATCTCTGGCCAGTCGAATACACAGATGTGGAGCCAGTGGACACTGGGGGCCAACTGTACATCCACGTGGATTCTGCCCCTCAACGAAGCATTTGCACGATTCATATAGCGTGGGTGTTTGTTTTTCAATGCTGAATAACAAATGGCCACAAGCTTATGAGCTTAAGATGCTAGTGTTTATTATTTCATGGCCTGTGGGTTAGCGGTCTGTATGGTTCTGCTCTTTTCTGCTCTCAGGGTCTCACAAAACTAAAATCAAGGTGCTGCCTCCAGGCTGTCTTCCCCTCGGGTTTGGGGTCATCGTCCAATCTCAGGTGGCTGTGGTAGGAGTCTGTCATTGGTGGTTGTAGGGCTCAGGTCCCATTCCTAGTTGGCTGTCAGCCAGAGCCCACTCTCAGAAACCAGAGGCTGCCCATGATCCTTGCTGCCACAAAGCCAGCAGTGAAGAACGGTCCTCACCTCAAATGCCCATCAAGCCTCTGGTCTCTCTGACCTCCTTGCTTCTGACCTCCGCACCCAGATGAGCTCAGATCCACTCAGATGATCTGCCTATCATAACGTCAATGGATTAGAGACTATATTGCAAAATCCCTGCATAGAAACACCTGGATTATTGTGTGATTAACCGGGAGAACGTGTGTGTAGGCCAGGAGTACAATGTTGGGGTTACTTGAGCATTCTGCCCATCACGGCATCCCTCATTTTGTTTTTCGTTCGGGGTGCTGACTTCTCATCATGCAGATGTGGATCGGCTCCCTTCCTGCCCATCTCCTGTGCCCACACGTCCACCCCACAGTGCCCATGCCTCATGAGCATGGTGTACAAAAACGCTGATTGGTGTTCAGTGATTATTATCACCTTTACGCAATACTATGCAACTACACCGAACTGCAAAGAACTTTCTCTTGTTCCCTTTGGAGCACTTGTCTTTTCTGATCCTTTAGGTTACCATCTACTTATTTGTTCAACCCCTAACTCTGCCAGTTTCCTCAGTCTCCTCTAGTCAGATCAGGTATCGTGGAAACCAGTGGCACTTCACTGAAGCTCGGCCCTTGCCTTCTGCAGACACCTTGAGGCTACTCCTGGCTTTTCGTAGGGTAGGAAGGTGTTTCTGCTTGTTTGGAGGGCTAGTACAAGTTACCACAGACTGGGTGGCTTACAGATAATTGCTTTTTCACAGTTCTGCAGGCTGGTAAGCCCAAGATCAGGATGCCAATAGATCTGGTGTCTGGGAGGCCCTGCTTCCTGGTTCACAGATGATTGTCTTTTCACTGTAACTTCACATGGTGGGAAGGGAAAGGTTCTGTGGAGGCACTTGTTTTTATTTTTTGGTACCGGGGATTGAACTCAGGACCTTGAGCTTGCAAGGCATGGTGCCGCTGAGCTAAATCCCCGGCCCTGGAGGCTATTTTTAAGGATACCAAGTCCCTTCTTGAGGGCTTCATTCTCATGATCTAATTACGGCCCAAAGATCCCACCTCTAAATATCACGACACTGGATATTAAGATTTCAAGAAATGAATCTGAGAGGACACAAATATTCAGTCTACGGCAGATGGCCCATGTGATCAGTATGACCAGAAGAGACGTGTGTTACTTCTGGATTAAGCAGTTAATTGCCAATTCAAGACTTTCCAGAAAGTCTTTCCCCTCTGCCATGATGACTGTCAATTCAAGAGAGTGTCTGTTTTGTTGATCTGAGGCTGAGGGCAATGATGATACAGGGTTCCTACCGAACTCCTGATGTACTGAGATTAAACTTTTAGTATGAAACTGAGTTTCTGGAACTATGTGCTACTGTAGCGTGACTTGGCTTGTCCTGAGGGATGCAGAAAATGGTAATCCAGAGTGGGCTGCTGCTGCAGCAGAGACCAAGTGGGACTGGCCTCAAGGCGGGTCAAATGCCTAGTGAGACAGCTGACCTTGGAAGTATGGCCACTCCTGCATGGAACTGCATTGGATTTGGTAAACTGTCACCTGAGATTACTTACACGTTTCAGAGAGAGGAGACCACAGGTGTCACTCTACCAGGAAAGACAGAGGCTCAGAGGATGAGTGAAGTCAAACAGACCAGGTAAGAGGTTGACCACAATTCTGATATATTAGTAATGTTGAAGCCACAAACCAGGACAAATGCAGTCCGTCACAAAGATTTCAAGCAAGCCTTGATCGCTAATCTTCTGTACACAGAAAGTGCACTGAGGGAGCTGCTCAGCCCCTAAGAGGGCACACTACCGGGTGTCGACTTTCTGTGCAGCTGAGAAAGGATAACAGCAAAGGAAAAACCACCTGAGGGTGAAGCAAGGGGCCTGAGACCAGTGCAGTGGCTGTGGCCATGTTTACCCAGCAGTGGGCTTAGACTATTCAATGAACATTCTCCCATAGGGGCTGGGGATTTAGCTCAGTGGTTCTGCTGCCTGCCTCGAAAGCGCAAGGTCCTGAGTTCGATCTCCGGTACCAAAAAAAATAAAAATTCTCCCATGAGGGCAGGGCATTATCTACCCAGCAAGGTTTCAGGATTGTCGTGGATTTTGTCTGCTGCAAGTCTCCCTCCTCATCCCTATCTAAATTGGGCTGTTTTGCGAGGTTATTCTGTCTCTTGCACCACGGGGTATTGCTATGTGTATGGAGAGGATATATTAGTTCATCTTTTGTTATTATCACAAAATACCTGAGGCTGGATACTATATAAAGAAAAGAGGTTTACTTGGAGGCGAGAGGAAGAAGATCACAAGTTTGACTACACCCTGGGCAATATGTAACTCGGCAATTCCCTGTTTCAAACAACAACAACAACAGAAGCTTTAAAAGGCCTGGAGGGACAGGGATTTAGCTCAGTGGTGCTGTGCTTGCTTTGCAAGCAGCAAGCACAAGGTCATGAGTTTGATCCCTGGTACCAGAAAAAAAAAAAAATGCCTGGGGATGTAACTCAGTGTGAAGGCTCTGGGTTTGATCCTCAGTATAGATGGGGAGGGGGAAAGAAGGAAAGAAAAGAAATGAAAGAAAAAAAGAAGAGGTTTACCTAGCTCACAGTCTTGAAAGTGCACACTTGACAGCCCCATCAATTTGGCTGCTGGTGAGGATCCCTCAGCCGTGTCACAGCATTGCTGATGGCATCTGGGTAGCAGCACGTGCACGAGGGGTCACATGCCATGACAGGAAGCCAGAATGACTCGGGTCAAATTTGTTTTTTCTGAAAACAGCCCATTCTCACATGGGGGAATGAAGTCTGCAGCATATGAACCCTGGGGGATAAGGCACACCCAAGTTACCGTGAGGGGTGGAGGGGCAGACAACTTCCCTCTAGGTCATACGTCGCCTGACCAAGAGGAATCTTGAGCCTCATGAAGAAGCCACTGAGCCTCCCACAGAGCTGGACACCGCACCATGCCCCTCACCTTGCCTGGTCTCTAGGCACAGATGACAAAGGCAATGAGATTGGGCCGGGCCAACCCAGGGAAGGGGAAATGTGTTTCATGTGTGCAGAAGAGTAAAACTTGCGTGGATGCTTTTCTGTTGTCTCTGCCACAGCAACCAGCATGCTCTATACAGAAGCTGCTCCACTTACCTGGTGCCCACAGGCACTTCATTATGGTCACAGAGCTTGGGCAGAGGTAAGCCTGTCCCAGGGACTCTATCCCTTTAGCCTCCTGAGGGCTCTTCGTGACTGACCCGCCTCAGCCTGGGCTGCTCACCTCTATACCAGGCCAGCAGCTCCCACCCGGGACTTCCTCTCTCCATCCTGCTTCCTGATCACATGGGCCCCCTCCCCTGTTTTGCTTCTTCATTTTGGTGAACATAATTTCTGGTACCTTCCTACCATGAGAAAGGAGGCATGGGAGAGAAATTTGAGATCTTGGGCATCTAAAAATACAGTCACACTGCATAATGATGCTTCCGCTGACAGACCACATATACAATAATCCCAGAAGACTGTCATGGAGTGAAAAATTCCCATCACCTGCAAGGTGGTAGCCATTCCAGCATCACAGCACACTGCATTACATTGTCTTTTTGGTACCGGGGATTGAACTCGGGAACTTTCGCTTGCGCAGCAGGCAGCAGAACCACTGAGCTAAATCCCCGGCCCTCACAGTGCATTACCTACATGTTCGTGGTGATGTTGGTGTAAACCAACCTGCTGTGCCACTAGTCGTACAAAAGTCTAGCCATAGAACTGTGCAAGGCACATGATACTTGACAGTGGTATTAAAAGACTGTATTACTGGTGGATACATGTGCTATGTTTTTTTCATTATTTGGAGGTATACTCCCCCTGATAAAAATTCATTATAAAAGTATCTTGGCTTTGTTATAAAATACCTGAGATAATTAAAAAACAGGAAAGCTTTATTTTGGCTCATGATTTTGGAGGTCTCAGACCAAGGCTGATTGGCCCTGTTGCTCCCAGCCTGCGGCAGTGGAGCACAGCTCGAGCAGACAGACACACGGAGGGGCTGGGAGGCAGAAGGGAAGACAAGAGGCAGAGGCCCCAATATCCCCTCACCTGCACTCCTTTAGCGAGCCAAGACCTCTCACAAGGCCCTTTAAGGTCTTTCAGGCTCCGCCTCCAAGAGAACCTGGGCAGGGGACCAATATATAACACACTTGGGCCTCTGGGGACACTTGTCCAACTAGAGCACACAGTAGGCTCAGGACAAAGGCAGCAAGTGGTGTCTCTTCATTCCTCAGGAGGCCACATGGACTAGCTGACCTACACCATGCAGGTTTACGAGAGCTCACAGTACGATGTTCATTCAGACCATAATAAAATTGCCTGATGGCATTTCTCAGGAAACATCCTTGCTGGGAAAGGATGGTGACTACACTAGGTTTATAGTTTGTCTGGGTGAAGGGTGGAAAAGAATTTTCCTTTACATTTCCCAAGGGTGTTTTCTTGCCTTCTAATTTCTACTGGCTGCCGTGGAGAAGCCCACAGCCATTCTGACTCCAGTTAGTATGACCTGCTTCTAATGTCAGGGCATTTTTGTCCTTGATATTCTGACACTCACTGGTGATATACCTTGTAGTGGGATCTCTTTGGGTCCTGTGAACATTTTTTTTTTTTTGGTACTGGGGATTGAACTCAGGACCTCATGCCTGCCAGGTAGGTGCTATGCCACTGAGCTAAATTCCCGGCCCTATGAACATGCTTTTTGGTCATAAAGACTTCTCTTGGGGCCGGGGATTTAGCTCAGTGGTTTTGCTGCCTGCTGCGCAAGCACAAGGACCCAAATTCGATTCCCGGTACCGGAAAAAAAAAAAAAGGACTTTTCTTGAATTACTGACACTTTTCTCTGACCACTCTATGGAGTTCCTATTATAGATTTGATCAATAATCTGGCTGGCTA